ACCACGGTTAAAAAAGAAGAAAAGATGAAGTAAAATGAAAGAGAAGATATAGAATAGAGCGCAACCACATTTGGAATCGCTACAACATACACGTGTCCACGACGAGGCATGTGATAGGGTTTCAGACTGATGAATCAGCCATAGTCAGTGGCACGTGGAGTGGACTCCTTTGCTCATGTAGCCTCTCCTGTGCTTAAACTCCACCTAGATATACTCTCAATTTCCAAAAAGAAGAAAGAGAACCCCTGGATTCCAACAAAAAAAAAGAACACAAGATCTACGACATATTACCAACAAATTCATCATATTCTATATGATAGTAACATTTAGAGATGCAGTTGGTACAAAAAATGATGGTTATCACTTAAGGTATATGGTTGATTTTGAATATTATACTTGAATGATGGACAAATACTTGTTTGAAGATCGTAGACGCGATCGCAATCTCCTTGAAATTATTGAAAAACAATTCATGTAAATCGAATTCTATCAAAGGAGAAAAGGAAATACAACACAAGTGTATAATTATATAGGAGGTGATGAAATTTTCGATTAAAACGATAGAAAATTCCAGAAACTTGTGGTAACACGGATTCTCAATGGATCAATTAAGACGCCTCTCGATTTCCTGAGAAACAACTCCTAAACAGAAGAAAAAATACGGATCGGAGTTTTACATGAAACATGCATCAGTTAATTTACAGGCCTAGATATGAGATCGAAAGAGGAGAACGATCAATGATCAACGAAGCCGAGATCTCAATTAAGAAACAGCCAATTCATTGCGGCAATGATTCAAAACAGAGAACCTGGATGGCTTCGGCTCAAAAACTTTTCTCCTTTGTAGATCATGACTCGACGGTTTGATTATTTTCATCAGAAACTCCTTAACCAGATTCGTCTTCTTACTATCCAATCGATTCAGCTGCTCGGAGATCGATTTTCTTCCAAGTTTCGGAGATGAGCCGCGGTGTCGTGAACACCGGAATGAGCCGGGATGGTTCGTCGGAGAACAGAGGCATATTCTCCTTGACGACGACGACGAGTTTTTGTGAGAAGAATCCATCACTTTTGGTGTGTTTGTGCATGCACTCCAATTTGATTGATCGAGACTCATAACAGAGGGTCGGTTGGTATTCAAAAGCGTAATATTAGGAGTCAATTTTATAACTACACCCCCTACACTATGAATTTATTTAAAATAATCCTTCTACTTTGTGATTAATGTCAAATAAACCCCCTATGCAAAAAAGATAAGCCTTCAAAGTGATGTAATTTTAAGCAAGATAAACTAATTTCCCCATCTCCAATTGTTTTTCGCACATTGTCTAAATAAACCTTGATATGAGAAGCTTGATTAAATGATAAATGTAAATCGAAACTTAACTATCAGGGGCAATTTTGTCTTTACAGATATGAAGGACCGAACACAAAAAGGTACTTAAATTAGATAGGTAATGCTTAGTCCGATTCATCATTAACCACAAAGGTGGTGTCTGATTGGTTTGAGCTTGGCTCCAAAGGTCAAAAGTACCAAGAGATCACAGGTTCAAATCTAAGGATGAACAAAAATCCTCTTGTGGCCACGGAGGTTCAAATGCGGTGACTCCGGGCTATCTACAAAATAGGTGATCGCCCTGAGATTAGTCGGCTCGCTTAGCGGGTTGGATATCTAGGTTAATAAAAAAAATTAAGGCAAGGGAAGGCGGGAACCACTTGGCCCTAAGACAGATCAAAGAAGAGTGAGAAACCTCTCGCTGATATAGAACTGTGGATCATTCGAGCCTTTCGATTCATAGATGTAGATCTTGGACCTATGAATGGGGATATTCCGAAGTGGGTCGAGTGGTAAAGATTCTTTTAGGGGGTGTTTGCACGTGTTATAAACTTAATTATTAAAGTCTGTAATAATCAAATTAGTTTCAAGTTTCCAGTTTTTAATCCTAAATAATCATAATCTGATAAACGCGTAAAAAACTGTTATAGCAAAACTGATCTTTTAAGATCGATACGAAACTAAATAATTACCTATAACTTTTAATGATTGAATTATCAAACATTACCATAAATCATTTAGAAAAACACATCCAAATACCCATTTACATTTCTATGTGAGAGTTGGAGGGGTCTTTCGTGAATAAAGCTATTAATAAAGGAAGAGAATGAAAAATAAAAGGAGCGGATGCTTCCACTACTTAAAAAGTTTAAAAAGGTACCTTCTAGAAACCCCAATTTACAATTTCTACCCTTACTTTATATACGTCTTTTAAAAAGGTCATTATTCCCATCAAGCAAATTCTTCTCTTATGGTACCCATAAAGATTTACCTTTTTCTTTTTCTTATTCTTAATATTCCGTTTGGTGGACAAATTCATTATCGGTTTCGGTGGGGGTAATGTTTATGATTTATAAAAATAGAATAAATTATATGAAAAAGTAATGTATTTTAATTTGATTTTTATTTTTGGTAATGTATTTTTAAAACTTTTATTTTTATCATTTAACATGTAAAATTTTAAACATTTAAGTATTCGGGTAGCGGTTGAAGACTAATTTTAGATTAAAAAATTCATGTTACTAACCATGTCAGCAAATAATAGTGAGTTGGATACCACATCACTTGCCACATCAGCATGATAACCGGTCCCGGGTGCTTAAATGTTTAAAACTTTACATTTTAGGTACCAAAATGGAAGATTTGATAGCACGTTACCTAAAATAGAAATCAAGTTAAAAAACGTTACTTGTTGATGTAATTTGTCTTAAAATATATTAAATTCAAATCACTTCGAAAGTTTCTTAAAAACCATGTCTAAAAATTATCACAAAAACCTTAAAGTTTGTATAAAAATCATTGAAGATAATCAATAATATCTTTATTTAAACATAACTGAGGGATCATTTACTAAACGCTTATACGGTAAGTGTTTACCGGATAATTTTTCTTACCGGATGAAAATGGCAAGGGTCACAAAGTTTACCCGGTAAGAGAAATGATAAAGATGGAGAACCTTATTCGGTAATTGAGGGTGACGACTCTTACCCGATAAACGTTTACAAGGTAAATTGTTATTTACAATACGATGTTGATGTACTACAATCTTACCCGGTAAAATAAATTGTAGTATTGACTCCTAAAGATAAGCGCTTATTGGATAAACATTCAGGTAAACAGCCCCGAATTTACTAGTTAGTTTTTTCAGTTAATTTGTCAAGATAGTTTTAATGATTAATAGATGTTGTACTTTTTGAATTTTAAGAAGTTTTCAAAAAACTTACCTAGAACCCTTACAAAATTATAGATTTATGGGTTGTTTACTCAAACGTTTATCGGTAAACTTCAATACTATCACTTACTTAAAGTGCATAAGATTTTAGTCCTTCAAAAAGGCATCGTATGTGACAATTTACCCGATAAGTATTAACCAGTTAAGAGGCGTCACTCTCACTTACCGGCAGCGGCGTACCCAATAATTTTAGCGGTGGTGCAACTTTGAGGTCAATCACTCAAAGGCCAACAAGGTAGCAGTTTAACTCGGGGATAAGTTAACGCCATTTATGTAACACCTGGATTTTAGTATGTATATTTCAAGGTTTTAAATGCATCTTTGACTTTAAAATAAACCTTAATCGGTAACTTGAAGTGGTTAGACTTAGTGCTAAATAGTTAAGAAAATTAATTTTCTGGGTACTTTTCATCGCGCCAGTGAAGTTGGGCAGAAAGTTGGGAGCTGGAGGGATGTCCTTTGAATTCGTTTTTCTCCCATTTTGTCCCATTTCTCGGCTTCGAACTCACTTCTCTCTTTCACACAAATCGGGTCTGATAGGTGTTAATTTATTAGCGGATAAAACGAAATAACAACCTACTTTTACAAAAAAAAATATTATAACATTCTGCTTTTAGTTTTTCTTATTACAACAATATACTTTCAAAATATTTTTTATTAGGACATCATACTTTCAAAAATTTACTCGTCATAGCTAGCATCAAGTAACCTTTTAAATTGAACTTACTCATTATACCAGGTTTCTTTGACATCTCATCGTCCACGTAGACTGTCCACATGCACGATAGTGCTGACATGACATTTGTTATTATAACATTGTACTTTCAATTTTTTTTGCTATAACATCATCAATTTCTAACACAACATTGTAACATTGTAAACAGTGGCGAGTTCAGAAACTTTTATAGTTGGGGGCACACTTAGGGGTGTTGGAAAAAAAAACTTTAAAACCAAATAATTCATCCGGATGAAAACGGTTTTGGGTTTTTATTTTCGGCTTAAATGGTTCAGTTAATCGAATAAAGATAACTTATTTAGGTCGATTTTCAGTTGATTTTTTACTAATTCATCGATGTATATAATTTTGTATATTTTATATTTTGAATGAAAATATAATTACATGATGCAAATGGACCAATTAACAATCAGGATATCAAGTTGGGGGTCTGGAGCCCTTGTCTTGTTCTTCTTGGACGCACAATAGGAAAATTTACTAAACAAATCTTTTTATAGTTTTTTTTTTTAAATTGACTGGTTTGTTGGGGGGCCAGGACCCCTACCACCATACGCTAGATCCGCCTCTGATTGTAAATTTAATCAAATATGTTTACTTAAATCATAAAATAACTTTCGGGGCAACTTGTCTAGTTCTGTCTTATCCAGTTCTAATCATACTAAGCACCAAACAGACATTTGTTCTGCCCTATCCTGTCCAGTCACGTCCGGTCCAATTCTTTCCAATTACGTTTGTGTGCTGAAAGTTTTATCAATTAACCCTAAAAGAAAATGGAAAAGCAAAAAGAACCGAAAGTCGTGGGACCCACCAACTCCTATACGTGATACCCATACGTCTTGCCCATCCATCGCCATATCATTTCCACGTCAGATTCATTTTTATAAAAACATATATTTCCTGTTAACGCCACGTCACAAAATAAATCGATTCGAAGTCATTTATGCACATCTAAAGACGACTAGCAAATATACGACCCGTTGACACATTTTTCACTTCTGTTCTCATTTCGTCGCAAACGAACTTTGGCCCGATCCAACGACCGCGAGCTTCGTATACTTCCGATGCCGTCTTTCTCGGGCATACAACACCCATAAAACCAACGAATGCATCACGGCAGCCGACACCATGGCTAAACCGATGTAGACCCACTTGCTGTATTTTCTGAGATCCAGGCAATGATCGTTATGGACTTGGGTGAATGTGTACCTAACGAAAGAACAATCCAGTAATCCGGCTAGGAACGGACCGTAGTTCGATAAACCCGAGCTCACGTTGGCTGCAGCTGACATCTGGTTATACATCTTTGGCGTCAATCGCCCGACATTTGTGCATATATTTTGTGTAGACACTTGGCATACATAATCCTTCCACACCTGCAAAAAATGGGGTTTGACTTCTAGAGGTCAAACTTATAACTTAAAAGATTCAAAACTAATGACGACTATACAACGAATCAACACCGATTTCTTTTCCCGGGTTATTCGTATTCTATGTGACCGTTACTCGACTAAAATTTACAAATAAAGTGCAAGAATTCATGTTAATTTCGAGATCGGAAGTTAGTTAGTTAGACTCAAAAGTCAAAGTTGCAGCAGTCATTAGATTAGAACTAAGGACCCGTTTGTTAGCAAATTAATGAGCTTAATGGAAATCACAGCTTATGCCGTCAGTTATACATGACTGTTCGGTAGTGACTTGATGCTATAGAAAGTGGCTTATTCAATAAACTTTTAGGAGGGAGTTCAATTCCGAGACCAAGTTTTAAGATATTTAGACATATTTGACGTCCTATAAAGCTGTTTTTGTTGTTTCATAAAACTGAAAGAGAGGTTTACCTCAGCCGCGTTACTAGCGTCCAATTCACCCGCTTGACATTTTCGATCAGTTTTGTCGGGGTTTAGCGGGTTACAGAGGGTGGGAACCAATGGACCGGATTGATTGTAACTAACGAAACCGAATAAGGGTGGGGGGTCGATATTTGCCACGTTGTTGATGATTTTATTAACCATCCCGACCAACTGAAAAGTGACGTCTTTGCTCTGAAACACGGTTTCTTTGGCAGTTGCGTTGTCAACACACGGAAGTATATCGTCCAATGCCGTATGAGCCGTGGGGTTCTGAACCCATTCATCCATCGCAACACATGTGTCACCCATAACACTACGAATACAGATAATACGTGTTTCGATTAGATCAATGGTGACAAAATGTAGTTTATTCTAGAAATCGGATCCGTTTGAACGTACTTATGAAGCGTGAGAAATACGCCACACAAGATAAACGTAGCCGTAACGAGAATCCAACCTACGACCACCAATCTGCAAGCATCATTCAAGAATTCTGATCAAGACACATTATAACAAAATTGGCTTTTTAGGACACTTTTAGACGTTTTAACAAAAATTTTAGGATGTTTTTAAAATAAAATGTCCTATTAGCTATTTTATATAACACTTTTGAGAAGTGACCTATAAACCCATCTTTTTATAGAACATTTATGTCTATATGACACTTTTTCAAATAATGTCAGTATAAAATAATTAATACGACACTTGATTTTAGAAGCGTCCTAAAAAACTTAATTTTAGGCGTCACTATAAAATCATTTTTGTTGTAATGACAGTACAACGAAATTGGCTTTATATGACGTCAAATATATCTAAATGTCCTAGCAGCCTGTTTTAGAAGACGTAAGTTTATAGAACCAAACATCTGTGTATCTTATGTAAACGTGTTACAATAGAATGTTAGGACGAATTTTGGCATAAAAAACGTTCAATCAACTTATTGTAACACCTTTACATCGCATGAACCATTACTTGATCTTATAAACTTAAGTCCTATAAAACAGTCTATTAGAACATTTAGACATATGTTATGTCCTATAAAACCAATTTTGTTCAGTTAAAATGCATAAAGTAGAATCACCACTCACATGTAAACAAGAACTTGCAAGCCAAATATGGAGAAGACTGCAACCAAAACTCAAGAAAATGAGTTGTTTACAAGCAAAATTCCAGTTTAAATCTCTAAGAAAACAGGATCGTTACGGCTTACCGAAACCGAGAAGGGCTACGAGAAGCATAACTGCGGCGACTATTATAAGCGCAAGCCTACTGCAGGCAAATCGGTAATGTTAATATTAGAGTCTCACATCGGCTAGACTTAGATCATTTCCCTACGATAAAATCGGGATTATAAGACAACAAAATTGTTCAAGTGCCCTGATAGATTACCTTATGGGTGTGTTTGGTACACAGAACAAAAATCACTGTTCAATGTTTGACAACACTTATATGTGAAACAGACAAGAACAGAGCAGAACATACGTGTTTCACCCCTACTCCATGAAACAAGGTGAAACAAACCTATATTTTACCAATATAACCTCAAAGTAAAACTTAATTCTTTTATGAGACATCAAATACGTCTCTTTTTTTACATTTTATTCATTCTTTAAATTTAATTTATCATATTTTGTGATCTTTAAACTTTCACTTTACTTTCCTCGAAATATTATTTTTATATGGTTTTTATATTTTAATTAATTTAAGTAATTTATTAAATATTATTAATAATAAAAATATAGAAAAGGCATAAAATAAAAATTAGAAACTACATAAATTTCATCAGGAGTAAATTAGTCATTTTATATGTTATGTCATGTCCAGTTTTTTTTTTCAAACGCCGAAGAGTTGTTCTGTTTTGTCCTATCATATCATGTCTGGATACCAAACGCACTCTATAAAACTAAAGTTCATCGAACCAAACATTTGTATCTCCTATCTAAGAGTGTTGTAATAAGTTTATAAGACGCTTTTGGTTTTAGGACGCTTTAAAAAAACAAAGTGCCCTATTCGCTCTTTATAGAAAACTTTCAAGAGATGGCCTATAAAAACATTTTTTACTGGACATTTTTTATACGACAAATTTTCAAATGGTATCATATAAAAGGGTAAACAGAACATTCAAAATTAAGAAGTGTCCTAAAAAGCTTGTTACAACGCCGAAAAACGTTCTATAAACTTATTACAACACTTTTAGATATGACTGACAAATGTTTAATCCTATAAACTTAAGTACGATAAAGTAACTTATAGAATACTCGGTACTAAAATCTAAATATATGTTGGAACCTCCCTCTCCTCAAAAGCGGGGTTCTACGTATCTCACATGGCACTCTTGGGACTTTGACGGTTTAGTGCACACATTTTGACAATCTATGTCTGTCTGGCCTTGATAGAACGGGGCGCGTTAAACTCCCACATCGGCTAGGCTTGGACCATTTCTCCTTATAATACGTTGAAACCTCCCTCCTAAAGGGTTCCTTTGAACAGTAATCGTATAGAGTTCTACGTATTGTCACTATTAACATACGAGTCTAGTTGCGATATGACTAATTTATTGAACGAAACCGTTCAATGATAAAATGTTCACTTACATGGAGTTTAGAACATCGTGTATATGCTTCTCGTTCTTTTTGGTATCGAAGTCAAGGTCTCTAGCAGCATCGTTTATCATTTTATCAACCCGATCAATGTTGTTCTTCATATCCGAAGGTAAAGAAACTTGATCCACTCCAATCCCCTTCGCCGTCGCAAGAATATTCAACACATTATTGAGATTGTGAACCGTATCTTTCGATTGTCGTACAACAAAGTCCAACGTATCCGATGTACTTTTATGAAACTTCCCTTGACCCGTGTAAAGAGTCACACATCCAACACTGAAACGCAAATTACAACCAATGATGAAAAATCAAATTATACCACAGAGAAAATTCATTCAAGAACCATAAATATTTTGAGAATCATGAGAACTAACTATTCATAATGAATACATCTATTATTCATTATGAATTATCATCATGATGAGTACCATTCATTTTATGAATACCATTCATCATGAATATAGTTTATATATCTAAAGATTCATGAATATTATTCATTATGAATATCACACGTACATTTCAATAATTCATCATGAATAACTCATGGTTTTCATGGTTCTCAAAATATTTATGGTCCTTGAATGAACTTGCCCCGAATCCACATTCCCACAAAACTTATCGAGTAAAAAAGAGTTGCTCACGTTGCGGCAATCGTGAAGAGGGCAAGGAAAGCGAGAGAGAGTGCATACGCGGTTCGAGAATACCCGTAACGTATCTTTCGACCGTAACAACAATAATAGCAACCGATTACGAGCAAAAACAGACCGAATCCCGCAAACCAGATTGCAGCAATGCCAAACAAAGGGACGGCAGTAAATGAAACAGACTGCATTCAATTCAGACAACAAAGCTTAACCAATCAGTGAAATGGAAAAGCTGTTCCTTTTCAATTAGAAAAATCGATGGTTTGACTTCAAAGTCAAAATTGAACGATGAAGAACAGAAGTTTCTGAAAAAACTTACAGAGATGTAATGATCGTTGCTTATATTCCATCCACCATTGTAGTACTTGAAATCGTTTATGGGATCTTTCCTTCTCGTTCTCTTTTCAGCCAAAACCAAAGACGACTTCTCGCCATTGCTCCCTGCTTCAAGAACAGACCTCTGAGCCCTCGCCGGAATGACGCCGGAGCCACCACCAACCACCCCTACAAAACCTGCAACAATACAATGAAGAAAAAGTGAAAACCTTTACCGATTAAACCGTAGACGAAAACGAAAACGAAAACGAAAACGAAAACACAATTTACCTGCGGATTGTTGTTGATTTTGTTGATCAGTGATCTTGGAAACTCCATTAGATGCCATGGTTAGCAGCAGAAATAACAATGGTTTGAGTGAAATCATGATTTCTTTGTTCTTGTTTTGATGATTGTTTTCAATCAATTGGAACGAAAATGGAGGATTGTTTTTGAGAATGGAAGGAAACGTAAGTGTGGAAGAAAGAAAACGTCGAGATGATCGCTTTGTGTTCTTGTATGGATCGACTTTTGGTTTGATTCCTGTTTCAGTTCAGACAACTGAAACTCATCGTATCATACATGTGGGTATATATACATAAACATTTCGCAAAATAGATGTGTTCGTATGTTAATTGTTAAATGGTTTAGTGTATAATAATTAACTAGTCAGAATGATTAATAAGTTCTCATGATATAATACAAAATTAAAATTTAATTGTTTGGTAATTGTGTACGATGAAATTAGAGCTCTTAATGGTTAAGGAAAATCCAATATACAAAATCATTCAGAGAGTTTTAGAACCATTAAGAGACGGATTTTTTTTTTCAAACAAGATTCACCTCTTAACGATTTAGAGATTGTCTCTTAATGAAACTATTAAGAAGTAAACAAGCAAAGAGATTCTTTAAAACGGAGAAAATCAGTATTTTTGGATAATTTTTTATTCCAATAGAATTTTCAAAACTTTGGTCAAAATAAAGAATGTAGGAGAGAGAATGTAAATTTCTCTAAATTTGAATATCTCTCCAAAAATATTATAAATATATGAATATTTTAATAATATAATCTATAAAATGAATAATGAAAATTTTTGAAGAATCTGTTGTGGATGCTCTTTAAAACTCCAAAGATATTAGTGGTGGACCCATACTAGTGGATACGGTGGTATTGGCCTACCACTTTGTTCCTTCGTAACAGTGTAAAAAATAATTTAGGATCGTGAAAGATGTCACAATATCATTTTGTTGTGTACCGCCGTGTATATTTTGAAATTACGAAGAAAAACATAAGTTTTATTTGGTAGAGTTAGTTTGATATGGTTTTTCACCCATCCCGAATGCAGATTATGAGTCCCCTTTTAGTTATTTTACCAACTTGTAATACCACATGTAATGACACTACCAGTAGACTACGGTTACTTTTTGGTAACTTAAAAGGTATACACGACAATTTAAAAGGCATGTGCATTTTTTAAGCGCCTAAGAAATTATATATTTCAATGAGATGTAGCCAATTTTGGAACCAAATTCACTTTTTAGCCACAGTTCACGCAAATGTCTTGTGCATTTGCATAAAACCTATTTTCAGATTAAAAAAATTCTTTAAGCAAATTAGGACAAATATTTAAATGTTTAAAACTTTACATCTTGAATAACAAAATGAAAGTTTTGAAAGTACGTTACCCAAAATAAGAATCAAGTTAAATACGCTATTTTTTCATGCAATTTGCCTATTTAATTATACTTCCTCCCACTTCTTATTAAAATAAGTCCAAACAAAATAATACAAACCCAATGCAAACAAGAGTATTATTCATATATTTAACCAAAAATTCCGAATATCTTTGTAATCCTCGTAAGTTTATTCCATAACTTGTCGATAAAGTAAAAACAAAATAAGGTATATAAATTAAATTAATATTATAGGAATTCTAATTTGGTGTTACTTTAGGGATGTTTGAGATTGCTTATAAAAATAACTTATTGACTTATTCTAGTGTCACGCCGGTAACAAACATTTTTGAATATTTGGATAAACAACTTATACCGATGTCAAACTGATAATAAGAAGTTTTTGAAGAAGTTAAACCCTTCTAACTTACAATAAGTTGATAAAGACTTCTATAGAAAAGCATAAGTAGTTTCAAATAAACAATCTCAAACACCCCCTTAGAATAGTAGTATGTTTGTAGCATAAAGTGCCACAATCTGGATTCTTTTAGCGTTTTGCAAGTTGAAATCTATATACATACATCTTTGTATGTATTTGGGTTTAAATGAGAACAGTGTCAAAACTCAAAATAAGACAACACGAGGACGGTTTAATCATATGTGATTTTATACTGAAAAATCACATGTGATTACGGTATGACTTTGGCAAGTCTCGGATTAAGTTGCCTACACAACCTTGCAATGACCATGTTTCATATTCAAATCACGTGTCATGTGATTACATTGTAAAATCACATATGATTTGTCTGTATTCATGTTTTCTTGTTTTAACTATGTTATTAATTAAATTTTTGTTGAGCACATATTTGGATGAACATAAATTAGCTTATTGAAATAATTATAAATAAATATTAATAAATAAAATTTAATTACTACTACTACTAATAAATATTAATCAATAGTAATTAATTTTTGTTGAAGACTATTAATTAATTTTAACTATACATTATATATTAATATTAATTATTTAGAATTATTGTTAATCATATCAATTATTTTTATATTATTATCTTTTTAATTGTTATTAACAAATCCAAAATTTATAATATATATAATAATCAATTTAAAACTGTTTTGATTGACATATTACATTCTTTTATTTTTTTTCTACTATATTCTTTAAACTAATACTAGATGTGTATCCGCACAATACGGCAAAAGTCGTAAATTTTAACGATTTTGAAGTTTCACTGGGTTTATTAGAAAAGATTTAACGATGATATAAGTTACACTTGAATAAATAAGAGTTATTGTTCCAATTACAGTTTATTGATGAAAAAAATTGTATGACAGTTTAAAATCCAATATATTTAAAATCCAACATATTTAAACGACTCCACAAATGTGTTCGATTTACACCAAGAACAAAGAATCAAGAGATCGAGAGCGAGACTGAAAGTTGTAGAGCAATGGAATGAGAAGACTTTTAATAACTTATGGTGAATTTAATTTTGAATCTCACATTGGGGGATGGGAAGAAGACATAGAAGTATTCAAGGTGAATGCATGAGTGAAATGTGTAATAAGTATTTTGGGGACATGAAAAGAAAAGATAATAATGTACATTGGTAAATTGTACTATATGTTATTTTAATTGTAGATTAAAAGATTTTAAGACTGAATATATTAAGTAATAGTATTTAATACATTATGAGTTGTTTTTAAAACTTTTAAAACTTTGTGCACTAAAAAAGTTTTCAAGATTTTTGATAAATTTAGTTTATAAGATAGTATAGATATAGATAATGTATTATTAAATATCTGTTTTAATTATATCATTAAATATTGTAATTGACTAAATATTTGTTAATATTATTATATTTACATTTTAATAACTAAATATATTAAATAATAATATGAAAATAATTAATATGATCAATAATTATTGTAAATTATTAATATAAACAATGTCAAGATTAATTTATAATGTATAGTTAAAAGTAATGAATAATTATTATTTATTAATATTAGTAATATTTAAATTTTATTAATATTTATTTCTAATAATAAAAATAAATAATAATTAATGTTAATAAAAGTTATAATGAAAAAAATGACAATAAACTATTAAAACGCTACTTCAAGTACGTATTCAATAAACTAGTTTATAAGCTAACTTATATGTATCTAAACATGTATCCAGAAAATAAGCTAACTTCTTGGACCTCCGTATTTGAACCTCTGTGGTCACAAGAGGATTTTTGTTCCTTATTGAATTCAAATCTAGTACCTTCAGACATTTTTTGACCTTTGAAGTCAAACTCAAACCAACCAGACACCACCATTATGGTTAATATATAAATGGCAACCCTTGGAAAAAAAATAGCGTTAATTAATTTAATATGTAGTTTAATAAATTATATTAAAGATAAATTAAATGTTTAAAGACAAGAAAATAAATTATCGAGTTTAAAATTTTAATTTGAAATATAAATGAGAGAATCTCTCCAAAGGAAGGTTGAACGAACAGTCATTCGAACCGGGAAAATAAAAAATGTCGGAAGCGACTTCAGCAAGCGCTGCCGCGATTTCTGCAGCAACCGTCGCCGATGATTATTTCCGGCCGTCGTCCATCAGTAAACTTCCGATCACCGATGTTGGCGACTCCTCCACTTCCTCCTCGTCAAATGCTTACGTAACTCAGACATTTCCTTTCTCATCTGGAAACCCTAGAATCGAACAGACTAGAGGCGTTATGCATCTATTTCTCGACGATGCCGTTTCTTCTTCATCCAATTTACCTGTAAATTTTCGTCTCTTCCACTACCTTCATCAATCAGATGATCCAATTTTTTTCGTGTGTTTTATTCATTAGGGTTCCTTACTCTTAATTTGTTTCTGGAAGCAGGTTTGTTGTGTTTGATTGATTCTGTTTAATGCTAGTTTGGTAATTGAAACGACTAAATCAGTTAGTAATGACTGGTAAATGAAGTTACCTTTCAAATTTGTTGGTGATTTAAGCTGCTTAAGTTGAACTAATCGAATTGCCTCAAATCTTCTGGTTTGACAACCAAAGATGAAGATCCTTAATGTGTGAGTTAATTTTAATTGACAATGGAGAATATAGAGCGAATCACAAGAGCTGCAGGTTTGTGACAGGCAATTTAGGGTCACAATCACAGTTGAGTATCTAAACGTAAAAAGAGATTAGCAAGAGCAAATGGTGATTTCACACATATATTTGTATAATTCCATGGCTAAAAGTACATCAAGGATCATAGCATCCCGAACCAATTAGGAACTACGATGACAAGATGGAGTTAAAACTGTTTGACCTCTTAACTCTCCTTATTAGAACTCGAAAATTACAGAGTTCCTGTTTTCTAATTATTTGTAGTGATCCAACTTCTAATTTTTTTATGCTATTTAGGTTGGAAGAATGCCTCTTATTTGTGTACTTGGGGTGCCAAATCACATGACATACGCTGACTTTTGCCAGTTTTGTGGTTCTTTTATTCATCATATTTTGGAGATGCGCATTGTCAGGTTTGATAGCTGTAATTACTAGTAATCAGTAGTGATTCTTCTATGAGCTAGCTTTGTTATCTCTTGATGTCTTTGTGTCTTAGGAATGATGGAATGGAGAACCGGTATAGTATTTTGGTACGATTTGATGACCAAACCTCAACAGATGCATTTCATAAGCATTTTAATGGAAGGCGTTTCTCATCTCTTGAGGTTTCCTTCTTCGTCTAGCATGAGCTATTTATGTGTTATGTGGTGTAAATAAAAGTAATTATTCTGATATCTTTGTAAATTGTGGTGTTTGAATACAGACAGAGTCATGTCGTGTGCTTTTCACCTTTGATGTGCAATATACAAGCTTAATTGAACATGCGCAAACTTCCCCTGCAAGTACAGAGCAGCCTTCATGTCCAGTCTGTCTTGGTAATTTTAAATTATGATTCTACACACACACACATGCATACATATATGTATATGTCTTATATTCTTATTTACCAAAGAAGAGAACATGTTCTGGTTGTACCATGGTGAGTGGATGGTTTGGGAGTATGGACCGATATTTTATGAACCATATACATGAATTTGGGCTCACACTGGCGATAGTAACAAAGCAGTGCATTTGCGAAGAAAACACTTTAAGTATGTAAGAACAGGGGATTAGGCCTTACAGTTGGTTATATGTGGTCTGTGACTGAATCTTAAAATATTTTTGAACTTGAATATGGTCCTGGAGATCAGTGTTCAATTATAAAACCCAGAATGTAGGATACACTGGACGAAACTTGCCAACTGTGCACACCAGCTCTTTATCTCCCCTTGTATATCTTGCTTTCGTTTTGATAAATATTAATTGCCTATGGCTCAGGTATAGTATATGATTGTGTGTCATATATGAATGTGCTTCTACGTTGGATCCAAGAAGTGTTGGTTGAGAGTTGAATGTTTAGAAATTTTAATCAATTAAGTCTTCTAAAAGTATTTTAGGCATGTTTTCATGAGACTCTGTCCACGTTCATAATACGGTGTAAATAGGAGAATACTGATAGAATCTGAAAGAAAAACCATGAAATCATGAGACATCAGCAGGTTTGTTTTGCATTGAATTTTCACACATGATTGTATTTTTTTTTTTTTTTGTAGAGAGATTGGACCAAGATATGAGTGGGATTCTGATAACCATGTGCAACCATTCATTCCATTGTTCGTGTATTTCAAAATGGACAGATTCTTCATGCCCTGTAAGTATATTGGTAGTGCCTACCGTCTTATTTTTCTTTGTCCCGTGATGACAAACCTATAGTAGTCTAAAAAATGTTCTATTACTTGACACAAATTGGTTAAACATACAGCACATGTTGATATCAATGTTTACGTTTATATGACTATTTCATTTGTAGCATGTCAGGATATGTATGCCCTCTCTTTGGGGAGGGATTTTTAAAGGTCAATGTGGTTGCTGTTGGTGTTCTGGGATTTATTTATTTCTGTAAAAAGAGGTCCAGGAGAGTGCGTAGTGATTTGTTGTCATGATATGGACCTTCTGGATATGGGTCTTTGATTGACACTGCTTTCCTCCACCTCCATCTTTAGGTTGTGCTAGTAACTTTTCAGTTGGGAGCTTAAGGCTGTTCTTGTTGAAACTTTTTAGTGTGAGTTTTCAGAAAACGAGGTTTTGGTTTGTGATTCTATGTTTTCAGTAACAGATAAATAGATAATCTTGTGGGTAAGTTGACATGGCTTGATTCTTCAAGTTCTTGTGTTCTAAAGGAATTTCTTCATTCTTGCTTCAATTCAAGTTTTATAGAAAGAAATCTTTTGTTTGTGGCTCTACCTTGTACGTGAAAAGCAACTGATTTAATACTTGAGATGCTTGAAAAGACTAAGGGTGTCAAAAATAACTGAAACCGAACAAACCAATCTAACTGGATGCGATTTGGGTTAAACGGTTTCGGGTTATTCGGTTAATTCGGTTTGGTTAACCGAATAAGGATCCTTTTCGGTTCGGTTTTCAGTTTAATTTTCTATTAATTCGGTTAAACCAAATAATACGTTCTACTTATATTTTATATATTTCATTTTTACAAAAATAAAACCAAATACATATTGTGCTATTATTATTTTACATATTTTATTGTTATATAATGCTTTTTGTTTGATGGTAGATATTGTTTTTTGTTGAATTATGTTTTTCACTTGATGTTATTCAACGCATGAAGAAAATAATGTCTTGGTAGATATTGGTTTTTGGTAGATGATGCTTCTTACTTAATAGAAGTCAATTGTTGAGTATGCGTGTATGATACAGTTATATATTTGAAGTAGAAGGCATTGAATTTGGGATAATTATTTGAGCAAGTGTCTAACAAAAAATATGAATTCTTATTCGGTTTAATTAGTTACCAAACCGAATAACCCGAAACCGATTAAACCGAACCTTATTTGGTTTGGTTATCAGTTAGTTTTAAAAAAGTTAAAAACTGATTAACCGAACCGAATAAACTGATTTTAACCTCCTGAATAACACCTCTAGAAAAGACTACAACAGTTTGTGGGCTTTGTTATAATGTATCTTTGTCTTTTAATTGCGGAAGTTTAACCATTAGGCGACTTTATGCTTATTGCAGGTATGTCGTTATTGTCAGCAGCAGCCTGAAAAGTCTAAATGCCTGATCTGTCAAACCTCAGAAAATGTCTGGTTATGTCTTCTTTGTGGCTTTGTTGGCTGTGGAAGGTGACTACTTATTGCTGCTTATTAAGCTGTGATTGCATGGATATCCAACATTTATCCAGCATGACATTAAGGTCATGATAGTAACTATTGATGATTTTTTGGTGTAGATATAAAGATGGGCATGCCATTCAACACTGGAAAGAAACACAACACTGCTACTCCCTTGAACTGGAAACACAACGTGCCTGGGATTACGTTGGTGACAATTACGTTCACCGTTTACTTCAATCCAAGACAGATGGAAAGCTGGTTGAGTTGAATACGACTGATAATATTGATTTTGGCACTGATCCTGGATTCAGTGAAGCTCTTCTGAATAGCCGAGTTGAATCTGTACTGGTTTTCCTTTGTACTTTTATCGTTAACAAAATGAAGGAAAAATCTGAGTGCTTACTGTTGTTTCATTTTCAGATCGCCAAAGAGTATAATGAGCTACTCACTACCCAACGCGAGAATCAAAAAATGGTAAGTTTACGCTTAGTTATCAGGCAAATGAAATAGCATCTAATTGCAGGCAAAATCATGAAAATGTAACAAAGTTTGGTCTAGTTCCCATTTAGTGTAACGAAGGAATTTTTTTTCTCAATTGAAGTAACAAAGTTTCAAAATTTTATACTTTATACCTATCTTGACCGATGATCTGCTGATCTTGTAACATTTGATGACATGGATACCTGTATATGAAGTATTTATTAAAGAGTTACATCAAGTGGATGATAAACTTTAAATCCACGTCATCAAATGTTACAAGATCAATGGATACTAGTCAAAAGAGTAAAAAATAGGAAAATTTGAAACTTTGTTACATTGATTGAGAAAAAGAATTATTTGTTACACTAAATAGGAACTCACAAACTTTGTTGTATTTTGCCATTTAATTTTTGCTCAGAAGTTCTATTTTGTTTAACTGCTTTAGACCGGCTTGGGGCTGTGTTAGGGGATGTTTGGTTGGTTTTCCATTAAGTCCTACATGGATAAAGATTTCTGTGTGGATTAATCTGCCTGTGTAATTGGGAAGGTTTTTGTTTGGAAGAGTTTTTTCATAGATGGAAGGAGCGTGTTTGTTAATCGGGAGGGACAGGTTCGGAAAAACGTGGCTTTCTGCATAAAAGCTCCCCCTTATAAGCTTACTGCATAAGCCACTTTCTATATCATTAAGCCACTACCAAACAGTCATGTATAGCTGACTGAATAAGCTGTGAATCTCATTATGCTTATAGAGCTGCAATCAAACAGTCCCCTGTTATTGCTGACCGTTAAGATTTGCAACTTGTCTGGCTTAGTGCTATTGGTTGATTTCCGTTGCAGTATTTTGAATCTTTACTCCAAGAGCTTGAAGAACAAATTGAGCGGGATATTTCAGCTGCTGTAAAAACTTCTTTGGAGCAAAATACGAAATTGCAAAAGATGCAAGCCAAGCTAGATAAAGGACTCAAAGAGAAGAAATTTCTAGATGATGTAATTGTTTTCCCTCCCTACTTGTTCGGTACGTTGATTTCTTACACGATGACCGACATTTTCTTAATTCTGTCTTTTCTTTTTGGTGCTAAACTTGTAGATCAACGAGAATCTTTTGAGAAACAAGGAGATATGGGAAGGCATCATAGTGAAAATCCAAGAAAGGTATGGCTAGAATACGCATTTACAACTTACTGCCGTCCTAAGATGTTTGCAAGAATCATTTTTATTTTTGATGTTTATTGTTTTGGAGTTGCCCACCATGTACAGCTTAGCTTGATTTTAAAATTATATAATTAAAGCCTCAGATATTTTATCAAGATCAAGGTTATAAATATGAAACTAAGGGCCGTTTACCGAACACTTATGGGGTAAGCGCTTACCCACAAGAGTCGCCACCCTCACTTACCTTGTTGGCTAACGTTCTAAACCAGCAAGTCTTTTACGTGGTAAATGCTTACCGGTTAAGAGTCTTCTCTCTCACCACGTAAAACTCTTGGTTCTTGCTTACCGGCTGAGATTCTTGGGTCATTTCCAAGCTCACTCAGAGGGGCTTTTATCAAGCACTTACCGGGTAAGTGCTTACTAGGCGTCACTTACCTTCGAGATGAGCATGGCAAACACCTAGAATCTTACCCGGTAAGAGGGATTGAGAGTCTTACCCGGTAAGTGAGGGTGTTGACTCTTACCCGGTAAGCGCTTACCGGGTTATAAATGTGTACAATCAATCCGTTTTGATGGCAAGGAGTGTTACCCCATAAGGTAAGTGAGAGTGGTGATTCTTGCCGGAAGGTAAGCGCTTGGTAAACGGCCCCTCGGTAAGATAAGTGACGCCTGGTAAGCACTTACCCAGTGCTACTACAAAGAGCTTTTAGCTCATCTGTACATGCCATGTTACTACCTCTCACCGGCGAAGAGGTGCTTACCCAATCAGAGATGATGTTTACGATGTTCCTCTTACCTGGTCAGTATAAGTGCTGACCTAAACCACTATTAGGGGCTGTTTGGTTGGTTTACCATTAAGTTCTGTATGGATAAAAGATGTATGTATAGATTGGAAAGAAATTTGTTTGGGAGGAGTTTTAGATAGAAAGAGTGTGTGTTTTAATTGGAAGGGGCAGATTTGGAAAAACTTGGCTTTCTGCATAAAGCTCCCCATAGAAGCTTACTGAATAAGTCATCTTATATATATCATTAAGCCACTAACAAACGGTCATGTATAGCTGAACGAATAAGCCAAGTCCTATTAAACTCATTAAGCTGCTGAGAAACAAGCCCTTACCCTGTAACCTGATTTGTGTTGGTAAACGGCCTAAACCATGAGAATCACTTGCTTCTTGGTTGAATTTCTGTGGGTCTATTTTTTCCGATAAATTTACCATCTTTTACTCTGTTATTTGGTTCTATGGACTATCTTTAACCATTGCGTTTTTGGGTGATTTGTAGGGAGAAGGAAGCTTCAAGGCTCAAAGATCAGAAGATACAAGATTTGGAGGCCCAGGTAATATGCAATATCCCGTAGGACTCCTACTCTGTGTGGGATGTACTGGGTTCATCTGGTTTAATTATATTAAAAAACGGGATTTACTGGGCCATCTGGTTTAATTATATATGAACGGCGTATGCAGCTTCAGGACTTGATGGCATCTCTTGAAGAAATTAATACGGTAGAACCGTCTCCAACATCGCACTAGACGAACAAAATCTTTTGGTCTTTCTTTCGTCTTTAAGAAGGCGTTAGTGGCGGTCTCATTGTAAATTCCTTCGTTTTGCTTTTTTATAAGCGTAGCCGTAGCAAGTGGAGTACATAATCTTCCGTGTCGAATTCACATCCCCAAGTAACATCTCGATCCTAAGCTATGCGACTTCATTGTCGAACACAATTAACGAAGTCGCTTACACAAGTCGTTTAGATGAACTAATTTTCTTCTGCAGGTTCATGCTCGTCCGCATGTAGCAAACGATGTACCGAGAGTTGTCTTCTATTATGCGTGCCTTGCAAGTCAACTATAGATCGCCAAGTTGTAGTAACATGTGTATCACAAAATTCAACATTACACTCTACTCGGTTCCTGATTATCTTTAAAAAACGACTCAAATTAACAATTAACGATGAATGTTAAACCCCGAATTGCTAGTCACGGGACCTTGAATTTTCTTAGTAACGAGCCTTGGGACTATTCAACAATTGTGGCGATGGCACAATTAACGATTGAGACGTAACTCGTCTTGTGCTCACAAGTGAGGATGGTTGATGGTTCATTGACCACACTTGGGGTATTGCCGTCGATGCTCTCCGACATGAGGACCCGATTGGGTTCAACCCATCCCTGCACGAACTATTCCTCGAGTTTGATTCCATATTTCGATTTTGATGTGAATGACGTAGACCATCATGGCCAAATACCGGTCTAGGCATGGTGAAGTTAGTTTCGGTTCTTGACCAACATTCCGATCTAGTAGCATCATCATATGAACTCAACAAACTAAAAACTCTCATATAACTCGGTTGTGGTAGTCGCTTATAATAACCTCTATTATGTGGTACCATGTATGTTTTTAGAATATGGATATATACAAGTCAAAAAATATATATAAATTCCTCAAATAGTCAAAGTTTACACGATAATCTTTAGGCAAAAAATATTATGCGTATGGTTTGTGTGTAAACTTTGACTATTTGGGAAAAAAAATTAGATTAAAAAGTGAAAACAATTTGATGAATTAAATTTCATTTATTTTGGAACCCGATTATAATAAAAGGTTTCAAAAGCACTAAGGCTATGTTTGGCAAACTATCTGATAAACTAGTTGATGCTGATAAACTAGCTGGTAATTGATAGGCTAGCTGATGACTGATAAGTTAGCTGGTAATTGATGATGAACAAATCATATTTGACAAAAACTAACTTATAAACATATAAATGACCAAAAAAAACATTTTAAAAAACTAAGCAATTATAATATATTTTTTTAAATATATAATATTTATATACGACAAATGCAACAAATAAACTCACACACCCTCTTCACCTATGGTGAGGTTTGAATCCCTAACATCATAGAAGGCCAAGGGTTACGATACCGCTAGGCCAAAAGCCCTTTGGTTAAGCAATTACAATATTTCATAATATAGTTAAAACAAATCTCTAAAAATATAATATATCAACTAAAACCAAAAAAATGATATAAAATAAGTGATATAATATGTTGATTATAAAAATTTTAAATTGATTATTATAAATTTTAGATTTATTAAATAAAATTTAGAAAAAATCTATTAATTTATGATTTTAAATAAACCATTAGATATAATATAAATAAAATAAAAATGTTAACCTCATATTTTCTAATTCATTCATAATTTTCCAAAATATATGATTAATATTTAAAGTAAATATTTTATTAAAATCATTTAACACATTTTTATTATGTATAAAACAAAATAAGAAATTTTATATAACTTACATAAATATTTTTAAAATTTTTATATTTACTTTTTACAGCTAAACATATTGAATAATAATTATAAAAATGATTAATATGATCAATATTATTATAAATAATTAATACTAATGTATAATTAAAATTAATTAATAATTAATAGTAAATATTAATTAATATAATAATAATTGTTTTTATTTACTATTTAATAATAATTAATAGTTATTTATTATTAAGAGTAATAAATAATAATTAATAATAAAAGTTATAATTACAAAAAGGTTCAATAAACTCTCAAAATGCTACTACAAGTAACGTTTGAATATGATAACTTATGGTCATATAAACGCGTACAAAAAAAAATAGCTTTTAAGTTGACTTATTTTTGCCAAATGCCTAAAGTATCGTTTACCAAACACTTACTCAGTAAACACTTACTGATAAAATTCAACATTATCACTTTCTTACCGGTAAGATTTTTGTTCAACAAAACAACATTGAATGCAACAATTTATCCGGTAAGTGTTAACTGTAATAGAGTCATCGTCCTCACTTACCGGATAAGACTCTTGATTTTTGCCTCTTTTTTATTGAATAAAATTTTTGATTCTTACCATATTCATTCGTTAAAATAATATGACTTGATAATCACCTACCAACGTAATCGTAAACCATACGTAAAGTTCTAAAAAGTGGAATAGGTATTAGGTATGTATTAAATATCAATAACCCACGGAAGGTGGATATTATATATCAAAACTTGCAGAAGATGATCGATCATGTAGAATCGAGTGAATTCGTTTCATCCTTCTATAAGGTACATCTCACGCCTTCTTTCTGTCTATTCACTCCCTAATCCCCTTGATCTTTCATGTTTTTGACTATTAGATTTGTATATACACTAGTTTATGTTGCTAATTCTTACCTCCAATCACAAAAATCCTTGAATCTAACACTGTTAGGTTTAGATTTTTCATGAAATTTTGGTACGTCTGGATTCTGAATTTGAACCTGAGTTTGTTTTCAGATCGATGGCGCCAATTAGGGGCCTTTGAATGTGCTGCACTTCGAATCTGTTTTTGATTCTCAGTTTTTAGGGCCGTATCCATATCATTTGTGTTCATACTCGTTTGCTTCTGTTTGGGGATTTACAGTCTTTTAGCAAATTTGTTGGCTCACTTATCAATCATTAAGAAATGCAATAGATTTTCCTTGGATTTCCGTGTGCTGATGTTTTCATTTCATTGGATTTTCTAATTCAGAAAGGAGGTGATTAGATGAAACTTGTTGCAAATCTTACACCAATAATTGTCTAGTTGTAATACCACAAAATAACACTGAACTTTCACAACCAAACTCAAAGTCAAAGTTGGGTTGTGGTGTAGTGGTTGAGGTTCCGGAGATGTGGTGGAATATCCTATCTATCCAGGGTTCGATTTCATGCGTACACAATAATTGTGGCTATTGAGTTTAACAGGGCTGATTTCTTGCAGTCATAATTTGCGGTTGCCGGGATTAGTCCAGGCTGGAACACCCTTCTAGAAAAATGGTTCAGTGTTATTTTTGTGGTCTCACATGGTCTCAAGTGCTTGTGATAATGTTTCTTATACTTAGCAATTGTATCTTGAAAAGTCAAGATGAAATCTTGTATGAAGATATCACATGGAAAGCCCAAGGAAAATCTATAGCATTGCTTGATGATCAAGTGAGCCAATAAGTTTGCAAAAATACTGTAAATCCCCCAAAAAGAAGTACAAGATTAAAAACAACGGAAACTGCAAACAAGTGTTTAATCAAAAATGGCATCGATACGCCCCTAAAAGATAGAACCAAAAACAGATTCGCACTCCAAACACCCCTAAATGGCGGCATAGAAGACGTTACATTTTATTTCCTGAACACGAGTTTTGACACTAGCTTTCATTTGTGAAGTCGGTATTTATAGACTCGTTGGATTTGTTCGTATCTAAGAAACTTGTATGCTTTCTGAATTGCCCTTTTATCCATATCAGGTTTTAATGTTTTCTTTTCTAAGCTAAAAGAAAAACATGGTTTCAATGGATAACTTACCAGATCAGTTAGTTTGGGAGATTTTTAGCAGGATTAAGAACACAGTTGACCGAAATTCCGTATCTTTGACTTGTAAGCGGTTCCATAATCTAGATAACGAACAAAGAAAGTACCTTCGTGTCGGATGTGGCTTGAACCCTGCAAACGAAGCTTTAACTTCTTTGTGCCATCGGTTCCCAAACTTGAACAACGTTGAAATCACGTACTCCGGTTGGATGTCCAAATTAGGGAAACAGTTAGAGGACCCGGGTCTTTGCGTACTTTCCGAAACCTGCCCTTTTTTAACGGATCTAACCTTAAGTTATTGCACCTTCATCACTGATGCCGGCCTTAGTTGCCTAGCTTCGTGCTCCAAACTTTCATCATTGAAACTAAACTTCACCCCGAGAATCACCGGTTGTGGCATATTTTCCATTGTTGTCGGCTGCAAAAACCTCAAGGTACTTCATCTGATTCGTTGTTTGAATGTTAGTAACCTCGAGTGGCTTGAGTGTCTTGGTAGGCTCGAAACCCTCGAAGATCTTTGCGTTAAGAATTGTAGGGGTATCGGAGAAGGTGCTCTCATTAAGCTTGGGCCCACTTGGCGAAACATAAAGCGTTTGCAGTTTGAGGTTGATGCAAACTACCGGTACATGAAGCTTTACGATCGGTTGGCAGTTGACCGATGGCAAAAACAGTGGGTCCCGTGTGAAAGTATCGTCGAGCTTAGCCTGATCAATTGCATCATCAGCCCCGGAAGAGGGCTTGCTTGTATACTGGACAAATGCAAAAACTTGGAGAAAATTCACTTAGATATGTGTATAGGTGCACGAGACTGCGATATCATCGGGCTCGCGAAAAACTCGAGAAATCTTCGGTCCATTTCGATCCGAGTCCCATCGGATTTTTCTCTTCCACTTCTAATGGAGAACCCACTTCGACTCACGGATGAGAGTTTAAAAGCAGTGGCTCAAAACTGCACACTCCTCGAATCTGTGAGCCTATCCTTCTCCGACGGTGAGTTTCTGTCGCTATCTTCATTTTCGCTTGACGGGATTCTTAGTTTGATCAAAATGTGCCCGTTGAAGGAACTCTCTCTTGACCGCGTCTGTTCTTTTAATAACATTGGAATGGAAGCTCTTTGTTCTGCTGACCATCTCCAAACATTAGAACTTTCGGGATGCCAAGAGATAAGTGACGAAGGACTCGAGCTCTTAGCCCATTATCCACGGTTACGAGTTTTGCGACTTATGAAGTGTCTTGGTGTGACCGATGACGGGTTCAAACCGTTCATTGGTTCCGGAAAACTTGAAGTTCTTGTTGTGAATGATTGCCCTCAAGTATCACACACGGGTGTTGAAGGAGCTGCAAGGTTTGTGTCTTTTAAGCGAGATTTGTCATGGATGTATTGAATGTCTAGGGGTGTTATACTGGGAGCAGGTATTAAACAGTAATCTATGAGAATAAAAATAAATTAAACTGTTAGGTTTATATAATATCTGGGTCCATTCCCCAAGAAGTCCATATTTTCATTTCAATTTAAGGTCATGTTTGTGATCTGTAAGTTGGCTTCTTTTTCAGCTTATTGAAATATTCTTGTTTGTTTAACGACACTTGTCGAGGTGATATTTGTAAGGTTCTAAGTACCGGTCCGCCAGAGTAAAGTCTGCGGGGAGGAACCGGACCGCGACCCAACTAATCCTCGACAGGTTTGGTTTGGGAAACCCGTTGGGTCTCATTTAGTGAAACAATGTATCTTAAAATTAAAATTATAATGAATGGTCACTATATTAATTATTAATATTTGAAAATAAAATATATTTGTCATTTAATTAAAATGTGTGTGAGTATATATATATATATATATATATATATATTAAAGTAAAAAATTTAATCGGGTTCGGATTAGAGGAGAGTAATGTTATTTCTAACCTTATCTCGAACTCGCTTCAGGTTTGAACATAAATCCATGTCCTTGTCCCGTTACCTGCCAAACCGAAGAATTCTCGTTCGTTAGGATTAGATATCTATCTCTATGGGTAAATTTTCCATCTTTTTCCCGTTCAGTAAGAATCAAATGAAATTAATTCTTTTAATTTTCAAATAATTGTTTTCGTATTATTTATACAAATAAAATAGTTTATAAACTTTTAAAAATGAAATGTTTTCAACTTATTAAAATAACAGATTTTCTATTTTTTTATAATGAATAAATTAAAATACAAAATCTTTATAAAGAATTATCTTAGACTCCAACACATTTTTTATTTTTGAATATTATAATATTTATTATATATTCAAATATTTTATATCAATACTATATTATAAAGCATTCGACAAAGACTTTTAAAAACCACTTTTTATGCATGAAGTACTGTATATTGATGCATGTTACTTAAAATTCAAGATTACAAGTAAATTATGCATAAGTATAACTTTTTAAAGCTTCATTTTTTAATTCGTGTAACTAACTGCGGAGAAACATAATCAAATAAAAGATAAACATCTCATTTTAAAATATAAAAAAATTAAAATATAATTAGGATAATCATATAAATCTAACAAAATAATTAATTAATATATTTATAAGAAAATTATATTATTTTACCAAATATAAATTAMTTYGTTATTGAACCTAAATTAAATTATAATAAAAAATTGAATTAAAAAAATAAAAACATCATTATTTTTTCAGAATCACATAAGACATACTATAACATTGACTGAGATAAAGAATAAAATAAAATATTAAAATCAATATATATTTCGCTGCATTCCACGAATACTCTTCTAATATTTAATAAAATATTCTTTCTTTCTCTTAATTTCTAAATTTTTAACTTAAAAGTTTTCTTTTATGGATGAAAATATAATAAAAAAATATTTCTTTTACGATAATAGTTTTTTAAGAGTTTTCCAAATTAGCATAATTTCACTCCCTCCCTCCTAGTTTTTATATCTATACTATATTATAAATTATTTAATAAAAAAAATTAAAATCATTTTTTATATATTAAGTATTGTTTATTGATGCATATTACTTAAAATTTAAGATTACAAGTAAATTATACGTATGTATAACTTATTAAAGCTTCACATTTGAATTCATATAACTAATTACAGATATTGAATATGTATCTCATTTTAAATATAGAAAATCTAAAATATATTTAAGATAATCATTGAATTTTAATAAAATATTAATTATTATCTTTATATAAAAAAATTATATTATTAAAACCAAAAATAAATGAGTTTATTGTTAACTCTCAATTAAATTATAATAAAAAATTAAATTAAAGAAAATTATAAAAAAAACAAGGACTTTTAAATTTTTTAATTTGACACTAAAATCAATATATATTTTTTTCAAAATTTTATGATACATTCAAATTTATATTTTATTAAAAAATAAATAAAAACATTATCATTTTCTCAGTATCACATAAAATCGTATTATAACATCGATGAAGATAATAACATGCAACATTAAAATCGAGATGTATCTCGCTGCACTGCACGAATACCCTTCTAGTTTTAGTAAAACTAGATTACTGACAATCTCAATTGATCTTACATGGAACTTGTCTCCAAGAATACCAAAGTACGAGACATTTTTCGTCTCACTCAGTAACTGAAGCTAGAGACTCTCAGATCAAACCAATAATCTTGTATTTGAACAAAGTCATCTTATCCTTTTATCAACCTACAAGCCAGAGGCTCTATTTTAAATAATTTGTTGTATAAATAACTTGTTCAATTTCTCCATTTTAAAGAATCAGTTAAAAATAAACCATGAGGATGGTGTCAGGTTGATTTGAGTTTGCCTCCAAAGGTCAAAAGTATCCGGAGGTCCCAGGTTCAAATCCAATGAGGAATAAAAATCACCTTGTGGTCATGAAGATTCAAATGCAGTGACTCCGGACTATCTGTAAAGCAGGTGATCGTCCTGAGATTAGTCGGCTCGTATAGCGGGTTAATATCCAGGTTAATAAAAAAAATCAGTTAAAAATCCCATTTAAGTTAAAATTTAATGAGATTTAGTAAATTAATCTTAGCCGTTGATCATGATTTATCATCTTATCCATTGATCTTGTTTGTTCCAACCTAACTAAAGTGGCGCAAGTTTGAATGACAGAGCTAACTGAGCTTCTTGCTGTGTTTCTTCACCACCGGCGGCGGCGGCTTCAAAATCAAGCCACCGTTGTCTTCATCATAATTTCGTAAACCTAGCCACCCAATGACTTCCCTTTCCAATTTAGGCAACTTTTTTCGGGCAATCGATCATCACCATCGGTGTTCCCCCGATGTGAAGCTCCTAATCGGCAGATGCTCCAGTCATCCACCCAATTTTTCTAGAAACGTGCTACGTGCACAGTTAACGGACACCATATCGGCGGTGGGATCGCAAAAGGTTAGCAAGGATGAGGTGATGAAGGCTGAAGAACGAGTAATAGTCGGAACTTATGGCCGATCTCCTCTTGTCCTCACAAATGGAAAGGGGTGTAAGTTATACGATATTGAAGGTCGAGAGTATATCGATCTCACTTCTGGTATTGCCGTCAATGCTCTCGGCCATGGCGATCCCGATTGGATTCAAGCTATCACCGATCAAGCTAATCTACTGGCGCATGTTAGCAACATCTATTACACTCTTCCTCAGGTCTGAGTTCGTATTTTGATTTTGAAACCTCTTTCAATTGATTCTTATCGAATGTTTATAGATGGATTTGATTTTATTGGGGTAGAACATTTTAGGGTTTGTAAGCCAAAAATTGAAATAATTGATGGTTTCACCATACATTGCTTCTTTGATTGATGTGAGGGCTGTTTGTTAGTAGGACTCATAGCTTATTCAGTCAGCCATACATTGAGTAATCATATTTGCAGTAGCTGTAAATAGAATTCTAGGCACTACCATGGAATCTGTTGCTAGGGTTCTTATGAAGACATAGGAGTCCAATTCTCTTTAGGGTTTAGGGATAAGGGATTAGGGTTTAGATCACAAACAGCCAAGTTTCAATCTTATGCGATCCGATTTTACGTGCAGGTGAATCTTGCTGAACGTCTAGTAGCAAGTTCATTTGCAGATCGTGTTTTCTTCTCCAATTCTGGAACAGAAGCAAATGAAGCTGCTATAAAATTCGCACGAAAGTTCCAAAAAATTTCACATCCCGATAAGACGGATCCACCTACTGAATTCATCTCGTTCACCAACAGCTTCCATGGAAGGACGATCGGTTCACTTGCCTTGACCAGCAAAGAGCATTACCGAACCCCTTTTGAGCCCGTGATGCCTGGTGTTACTTTCTTAAACTATGGGGACATCGATGCTGCTCAAGAACTAATATCTAGCGGCAAAATCGCTGCAGTTTTCGTGGAACCGATTCAGGGGGAAGGTGGAATCTACAGTGCTACAAAAGAGTTCTTGCAATCTTTGCGTATTTCTTGCGATAAAGCTGGGTCTCTGCTGGTTTTTGATGAGGTAAGATGCTTAACGGGACTCGCAAGTTATTCGGTCAACTATGTATGACTGTTTGGTAATGGCTTAATGATATAGAAAGTAACTTATTCAGAAAGTAGCTTATTCAGTAAGCATATAGGGAGAACCTTTATGCAAAAAGCGAAGTCTTTTTCAGACCTGCCCCAACCAATTAAAAACACGCTCCGTCCATCTATGGAAAAACTCTTCCAAACAAAAACCTTTCCTAACCTATACATACAAATTAATCCACACAGACATCTTTATCCATACAAGACTTATTGGAAAACCAAACAAACATCCCCTAAGGGACTGTTTGTTAGCAGCTTAATGAGACTCGCAACTTATTCGGTCAGGTATACATGACTATTTGGCAGTGACTTATTAAGTAAGATTCTAGGGAGAGTTTTATGCAGAAAGTCAAGTTTTTTCCAAACTTGTCTTCTAAATTAAAAAACATGTTCCTTCCGTCTATGAAAAACCATCTCAAACAAAAACCTTTTCGTTCTATACAAACAAATTAATCTACACATACAGCTTTATTCATACAAGACTTAATGGAAAACCAACCAAATAGCTTAATGCCTGCATGGTATGCAATCATACAATTCTACGTATTTCTGTTGATGACAGGACTGGACTGGCGAGATTGAGTTAGGTAGGTAAATGAATCGTGGAAGGTCTTAAGGTTTTGATTTGATATGAGTAATTTAGTAATTTACCAATTTTGTCGCATCTCCCAGATTTTGTTCCACCTATTTTGGTGGGACAGGAAAAAAATGCATTTTTATCCCAATTAGGTCCCCCGTCATGTCTCGCTCTAATGTTGCACCAAACGTCTGACAACAAGTTTTTGTACTGTCTTACCCGCATACTAAACACACATGATGGAATCCCTCCGGTAACGGCGAAATGAGGAGTCTTTTTGACCAAAGTGTTTATCGTTACATTATGGTTATGTCGAATCTATTTCGTATGAACAACAAATTCTTAATGCAACTAATTGTAGGTTCAATGTGGGCTGGGAAGAACCGGTTATCTTTGGGCACACGAAGCTTATGATGTAACACCCGATATAATGACTCTTGCCAAGCCGCTAGCGGGAGGTTTGCCAATAGGAGCTACACTAGTGACGGAAAGAGTGAATGCCGCCATCAAACACGGTGATCATGGCAGCACGTTTGCAGGTGGACCACTTGTTTGTGCTGCCGCGATTGCAGTCTTCGATAAAATATCAAAACCGGTGTTTTTGGCGAGCGTAACCAGAAAAGGCGAGTACTTGAAAGAAATCTTGATGAAAAAAGTCGGAGGGAACTCACACGTGAAAGAAATACGCGGGTTCGGTCTTATTGTCGGGATCGAGTTGGATGTGTCGGCGTCACGGCTCGTGGATGCTTGTCGAGAGTCGGGTCTTCTGATATTGACTGCGGGAAAAGGAGATATTGTTAGACTGGTGCCGCCGTTGATAATCTCGGAGCAGGAACTGGATCAAACTGTCGAGATCTTGTACAAATGTTTCGATGTTCTTGATGAGAAGAATCTGAACTAATGGTTCGGGTTTATTTTTCGTCGATGGGGGTACTTTTGTAATTTCAGATGTCAAGCTATGATGCAAATGTTAACTAATAGATTGGGATTTTTCTTTTGGTGTTTTTAACGGATATCGTCTTTATTTTGAAAAATTAATCGATCGTCCGTTTATGGTTGCATCTTTTTAACAAGTTTCGTCCCCGTGGTTACGTTTTTTAATGAGCTACGTCTCGGTGGGTGTAGTTTTTTAACAAGTTAAGTTTCTATGATTCTATTAAGATCACAGAGACGTTATAAGGTTGTTTGTTTATCTCTTAATAGTTCCATTAAGAGATAACTTCTAAATCATTAAGAGGTGAATCTTGTTTGACCAAAAAAAGTCTGTCTTTTAATAGTTCTAAAACCTTCTGAATGATTTTGTATCATGAGACTCCCTTAACCATTTACCGTTAAGGGTAAAAATCTCCTTTTTTTCCCCGTTGGTTTCTAGTTCACCCTTGGTTGTACCTGAAACTGAACCGATCCGAAAGAAATTGCAAGATGTTAATTTTCACAATTAAAAGTAAATTACAGTTTTTTTAAAGATGTAAGTCTAAATGTCTCGAATATAATCAAATCAATTACAAACAATGTTTTAGATTACAATATAAAAGTAAATAGTAACTCAAACATCATATTAGAAACTAACATCATGCTCACGATTAGACAAATAAATTTTTGGAGTGTTGAGATAAAGTGGATAAAAGTCTTTTAAAATTTAATATTAGTATTTTATTTTAATGATATTATATATATACATACACAAGTATTCATATAAACTAAAATTAATATATACACATATCGGGCCGGACCAGTGATCACCGTCCCCGCACCCGTTAAAATCTCCGAATATGTCCCCGATCCCCGCCCCGTACCCGATAAGATGTCATCGAACTCGACCTGAGAGTTTCAGTTTTCGGTTTTCACCATCGATTTCGGTTTATTTTGTCATCCGTATGGGTAACCTATTACTTTATAAACCGATTAACACCTTGTTTTTTTTTCCTTACATAGTTTAAATGAGGTGACGTGAAAGATACGTCATTCTAATTACATAATATAAAAAACCTTTTCAAATAGGGAGTGCTAATGACACCTCCTTATATATATATATATATATATATATATATATATATATATATATAGGGTTGGGTTCACGTGAGACCAACCTGTTTTCGTGAGACCCGTGAGAC